CCAGCTCCAAGAGCCCTCCCTCCTCACAGAGCAGCATCCCTCTGGCACCAGGCTCCTTTCCAAAGCAGGAATTCCTGGAATCAGCCTGGCTCAACCCCCCCCAGCAGATCTGAGCCCCACTCCGAGCCCCAGCAGCGCTTCCCAAAGTGCCCAGAGCCCACCTGGGGAATCTGCTGCAGGATGCTGGGATCCAGCACTGGGATCAGCCCCTGGAGCTGGCTCAGGGTGAAGGCTGACCATGCTGCAGGAGGCCTGAGGACAAAAATGTGTTACATAGAAGTAAAAGTTTTTAAAAGAAAGGCCTTAATTTAAGCCTTACTTTTGTTTACTTGCTATAATTATTTAATTTATATTATATAAACTAATATCTATAATAAATATATATTTTTATATATATATATTTATATATATTTACATTATAACATTGTAAATATATAATTATATATAATATGATAATATAATCATACATTATCATATATAATAAATATATATTATAATATTATGAACATATAACATATAATAAATATGTAATATAATATCTATTATATATTATATAAATAATGTTATTTAATTATTGAATATAATTTATTATTTTAGATATTAGATAATATATATTAATTATATATAGTTATATTGCATTTATTATTATTATTATTATTATTATTATTATTATTATTATTATTATTATTATGCCATTTTGTGCATCAAACACAAAGTGAGCCACGAGGCCTTGTTTGTACCATCAGAATAAAGACATGCTCCAGATTGCAAAGAATTAAATTATTAAATTTGTGCAGTCTGGAGAGACCTGCCAAGTTTTGTGATGATCTAATAACCACAAGAAACAAAATTCTAACGTGCTCAGGAGTTTTCTTCAAACCTAAAGAACTGAGATAAGCAGAGCTCCCCACGAGGGAGGATCCCAAAAGAATTCAGTCCAAAGGAGACTGAGAAAGCCAGGAAGAGAAAGAAAAATATAGAAGAAAAGCAGCAGAATCAGAGAAAAAGGATTTTTTTAGAGAAAAGTTACAACTGATACAGGAAGGAAAATATTTTGCTTCCCCCTCTGTGCTGGAATTGGGGATTTATCCAGCATCTCTCACCGGACAGGTAGAGGCAGAATGTTTTCTGTGCCTGACAAACAGCTTGAGCTGGGATCACCAGGCCACAGAAATTTTGGGGAATAAAAAACAGAGCAGAGGAAAAGCTTTTATAAAGAGCAAGAGATAAATGAGCGCTTCTCTTTCAGGAGAATCTCATCCTGCTGAAATAATTTCAACTGAACAGCACAAAAGACCCACTCAGAGCTCAAAAGCAAGAAGATTTTTGGGTTTTTGACCAAGCTGCTTGGCTGGAGTTCACCCCAGGCCTGAAAAGGAGCGTGGGTTTGAGGAAGGGAGAAGAATCCATACCCAAAGGTGGTGTTGCCACTGCTGAGCACGTCCCTGATGGCCTCTTCTTGCTCAGGCAGGAAAGATCCACACTGGCTCAAATCCTTCAGCAAGCTCTCCCCAGAGCTCCTGATGTACTCCCCAGGCAGGTCACACACCAGCCCTCCCAGAACCTCAGCGTTCTCCTCGTTTATTGCTGTGCCAGGAACTTGCTGGAGTAAAGGCAGAGGTGTTAACAAGGATGGAGCATCCCTGGATCCAAATCCCTGCAGGATCCCCCAAATCCACTGCAAGATTCCCCAAATCCCCTGCAGGATCCTCCAAATCCCCTTCAATGGCCCCCAACCCCCCTGCAGGATCCCCCAAACCCCCTGCAGGATCCCCCAAATTCCCTGCAGGATCCCCCAAATTCCCTGCAGGATCCCCCAAATTCCCTGCAGGATCCCCCAAATTCCCTGCAGGATCCCCCAAATTCCCTGCAGGATCCCCCAAATTCCCTGCAGGATCCCCCAAATTCCCTGCAGGATCCCCCAAATTCCCTGCAGGATCCCCCAAATTCCCTGCAGGATCCCCCAAATTCCCTGCAGGATCCCCCAAATTCCCTGCAGGATCCCCCAAATTCCCTGCAGGATCCCCCAAATTCCCTGCAGGATCCCCCAAATTCCCTGCAGGATCCCCCAAATTCCCTGCAGGATCCCCCAAATTCCCTGCAGGATCCCCCAAATTCCCTGCAGGATCCCCCAAATTCCCTGCAGGATCCCCCAAATTCCCTGCAGGATCCCCCAAATTCCCTGCAGGATCCCCCAAATTCCCTGCAGGATCCCCCAAATTCCCTGCAGGATCCCCCAAATTCCCTGCAGGATCCCCCAAATTCCCTGCAGGATCCCCCAAATTCCCTGCAGGATCCCCCAAATTCCCTGCAGGATCCCCCAAATTCCCTGCAGGATCCCCCAAATTCCCTGCAGGATCCCCCAAATTCCCTGCAGGATCCCCCAAATTCCCTGCAGGATCCCCCAAATTCCCTGCAGGATCCCCCAAATTCCCTGCAGGATCCCCCAAATTCCCTGCAGGATCCCCCAAATTCCCTGCAGGATCCCCCAAATTCCCTGCAGGATCCCCCAAATTCCCTGCAGGATCCCCCAAATTCCCTGCAGGATCCCCCAAATTCCCTGCAGGATCCCCCAAATCCCTCTCCCCATACCAGACACTCCAGAGCCTCCAGGAGCAGCTGCTGCCTCTGAGGAGCCTCTCTGGGCAGAACATCCAGGTTTGCCTCCCCAATATTGATAAAGAACTGCCTGCAGCTCCCTGTGGCTGCATAGTCTGAGGGGCTGGAGAGACAAACTCCATGAATTTTAGGGAATGAGGTCAAGCTCGACACACCCCGTGTCCGAAAAAATACCTTGCACCCTGAGCTCCACCAGTTGTTCCTCCCCAGATTTCTTCTGTGCCATTAAATCCTTTAAAAATCCCTTAAATTTAAAATGGTTCTCTAAAAATTCGATTTTAAAATTCCTTAAATTTAAAATGGTTCTTTAAAAATTTCGATTTTAAAATTCCTTAAATTTAAAATGGTTCTTTAAAATTTTGATTTTCACCTTCAGGAATCTGTTGTGTGAGAGGCAGCTTAAAATTGTTCAGGGTTTGGGTACAGAACCACAGAGGGAAGGTTCTGGAACAAGGGAATTTCCGTTTTATTCCCTGTTTTCTTTGGTGTTGTCAGGGAAAGGAACTTTCAGAGGCCTGGGAATGCAAAAACTTGGCCTTGGACACTGCCTCAGCTGCTCTGGGAAACCTGGGCCTCCCCACCCTCACAAGGAAGGATTTATTCTGATATCTCATATAAATCTACCCTCCTTCAGCTTTCTAAAATCCCATTTTTTTATTCCCCAGAAAGAGGCCTAAGCATGTCTGCAAAATGAACCAGATTAGGCAGCCTGGTTATAAACTAATTTTTATTTTTCCCCATGAAGTAAACTGAGGCAACACCACGAAAACCACGGAGGAGTTACCTTAAAAACAGCAACAGGTCTTTGGGATAACTGTCCAAATCCTTGGGAATCCCATGCAGGGTCACCATCCTCAGCAAGCAGTTCAGCTGAGAGAGAAACCACCACGAAACACAGGGGAAAATATAAAATAATTAAAAGGTTTTATTTTGCCCTGAACAAAGAGAAAAAAAAAAAAACAAAAACAAAAAGAGAGGGGGGGAAAAGAAAATGGAAATGGGAGGGTTTGGAGTTCTCCTGTCTTCAGGGAATTTCAGAGCTGTGGGAGGGACAGCCAGGACATTTGTTCACAGGAAGGGACCCACAGGGTCCTGACACCCCAACAACCCCCTTGTCCCACCCTCAGGGGGAAGAACCTTTCCCTAAAATCCATCCTTTCCCTAAAATCCATCCTTTCCCTAAAATCCATCCTAACCCCCACCACACACCCCTGCTCCAGTCCCTGAACTCCCAGAACCTTCAGGACAACACCAAACCCTTGGGAACGTCAGGATTACCTGGTCCTGCCCCAGCCTGACCTTCTTCTTCCTCATGACTTTGGCCAGCTCCTGAAACCTTTCTGCTCCCACAGCGCTGGCAGCTGCGCAGGTGAAGCCCTGGAGGACAGACTGGGAGAGCCTGGGAATTCCCAGCAGGAAAATCAGGAGGGAAAGGCCTTCAGGAAGGTGCATTCTGAGCAGGACACCGCTGACCCCGCTGGTTTTTCCAGATATAAATCTCTGTTTTCATCATTTTCATCTCAAATACGTCAAAAGACGCATCAGCCCCTCGAAATTAATCCCTGGAACTGCTCCCACCATGGAAGGTTGGGATATTCCCTGCTTGGAAATGCGTTCCAGAGGCAATCTGGAGCAGAATTCCAGCAGCATCGTTTTAGAAAGAAAATGTGGCCTCTGGGTGTATTTTACAGCTGAGCCCTGGTAAATCTCTGTGTTCCATGTCCATGCTGGGGTTCACATTCCATTTCCCACCTGTTCCTATGGATTCCAGGGGCTGGATGAGCCACACACACCACGGGAAACGTGGGAATTGCCAGGAAAACAGGCAGAAAATGGAAGGAGAGGAGGAAAATCTTTACCTGCTGAAGTCAGGCTCTGCCTTCACCACATCACCGAAAAACATGGCAGCCTGGGGAGCAAAGAGAGAGGTTTTCCAGGGAAAACAGCTCCATTTCCAGGGGGACTTTTAGGGATTCGTGGCCCCACAGAGGGCAGGGCTGGCAGGAAGGGGAAGGAGGAGCCCACCCCCCATTACCTGGTCTCTGGTCCAAGGTTTATCGTTGAGATCCTGCACATTTGGCTTCTCTTCCCCAAAAACAAGCAGGGATTTTGGGATGTAGCTGGCCAGAGCACTGGGAATGAGTTTAACCAGCTCAGAGGGGTGGCCAACCCTGGAGGAAACCTTGGGAAAAACCCAACAGAACAAAGCACAACAATCTCACCCAGTTTTAGTTCAAATCGTGGCAATACCAGAGAATTGTTGAGGTTGGAAAAGACCTGCAGGATCAAGTCCAACCTCGAGCTAATTCTGCTCCATTTCTGTTCTTTCCCTGGGAACATCAACTGAGAAATCATTTCTGGGGCCACCCCATGAAACAAATCACCCCTGTCCTCGTCCCCAGGAGGCTGAGCAGGCCCAGGACACCGACACAGGGCCTGGAGTGGCTTGTCCTGCTGCCACCGAGCCAGATCCCGCAGGGAACGTGCACACCTGGCCCCAGGTAAGCAGAGCTCCCAGCCCTGCTGCTCTGGGAGGCCTGAGGAGAGAAAACCGGCTCACCTTTTCCACCAGGGTCCTTTTCAGAGCAGGGGACAGAGGCTCCAGGCGCTGGGCGAAGCCTGGCAGCTGGATGGCCTCCAGGACAACTTCTGGGGCCAGGCTCTGGAGTGTGCTGCTGTTGAGGCCACCCACCAAAGTCCCCAGCTCTGCCAGGCTCTGTCCATCCAGGACCTGCAAGGGAATCCCAGGAAAAATCCGTTTGGAAAAGATCTTTGAGATCCTCGGGTCCCGGCTGTGCCCGATGCCCTCCTTGTCCCCTGAGTGCCACCTCCAAACATTCCTTGGACACTTCCAGGGATGGGGACTCCAAACCTCCCTGAGCACTTCCAACACCCAAATCCCTTCCCACGAGGAAATCAACCCCTGGATTTGGGGAGCTCTGTACCTGGTAGCCAGAGCGGAGCAGTTTGTTGACGATAGCCCTGGACTGCTCGGCATTCCAGCCTCGGACGCTTCCCAGGGTGGGAAGAGCTGCTTCCAGGTGCTCCTCAGGGATGCTGTCCTGGATGCTGGACACCGAGAGCCCCAGGGCAGCCTGGCCCAAGGCTCCCAGCACCGCTGGAGAGAAATCCTCCAAATTCCTCACCAGGGCGGACGCGACCTGCAAAGGTCCCGCGGAGACAGAGCAGAGTCAGAGGAGCAATATTGGATCCCACCGTCTCGGGATGTCTTAAATCCCTGGATTTCTGCCTCAGGTTTCCCTGCTGAAGGCTGTGCACGGATCATTTCCACCACTGAGGACTGTGAGGTGATGAAAAGCCAGCCAGACACCACAAGCAAGACACAGGGTGACCCCGAGGAGGGTGACAAGAGGGGACACAAGTCACCCCCGGCAGGTTCTGTGCAGCTGAGAGAATCCCCAGGTGCTCACCTGCAGTTCCTGCCGTGCCAGGGAGGAGGGAGCTCTCCCTCCAGGCATTCCCCTGCTCCATGGGCAGCTCTTCCCGAGCCTCTGGGCCACTCCCAAAGTCTCCTCCTTGCTCAGGTTTCTCACCGCCCTGGGGCTCAGGTAACAAATAAATTCATCTGGGAGACTGCAGGGAGAAAAGGAGAGGCTGTCAGTCAGCGAGGGGCTCCAGCAGACTTTTCTCTCTTTTCCAGGCACGTTTCCCCCATCATTTTAGATCTGATGATGCCAAAGCTGCAGCTCAGAGAGCTGAAAAACCCTGGAAGCACTGCTGGCCATCAGCTGGAGCTGGCACCGCAGGGAAAGCATCTCCCAGGAAAAACAACTTGGGGTCTGGCCCTCCTCAGGACCAAGGGCAGTGGGATTATTTGAAAATGGAACCCTTAAAGAGAAAATTAATGGAATTCTTAAAGAGAAATTAATAGAACCCTTAAAGAGAAAATTAATGGAACCCTTAAAGGGAAATTAATGGAACCCTTAAAGAGAAAATTAATGGAATCCTTAAAGAGAAAATTAATGGAATCCCCACTCAAACTCTTGCTGTGTCACACTGAGCCATCCCAGGGAATCAGATCCCACCTGGACAGTGGAAAAGCAGGAGCAGAGGTCAGGAGGAGGGTGTAGTACAGAGCAGTCTCCCTGAGCAAGGTGAGGTTCCCGACCATCTCCATATTCACAGGATCCCTGGCAAATTTTTGAAGCTGAGGACGGAAAAAATATAAAAAAGAAAAATGATTCAGACGGATCCTTCAATCCTGGCAGTGATGGCAGATTGAATCAACCTCAGGGGTTTTCACCTGGGTTTGAAGTTGTGCTGGGCTTTATTGGTTTTTGTTTTCAAGTAAATTTTGATCAGGTTTGGGGCTGTTCCTCTCATTGCTCCCTGCAGAATTCCCTTTGTGAAACCAACTTCTGTGCAAGTCCCTCTTATCACATGATGGGGGGAAATAATCCCAGTGACTGTTCACCTCAAATTAACTAGAGAAACATTCCTGCTGGCAGGAATTCCAGGAATTTCAGGGCCAGGTTGGACGGGGATTGGAGCAGCCTGGGATAGTGGGATGGATGATCCATAAATCCTTCCAACCCAAACCATTCTGGGGTTCTGATTCTGCTCAGGGCAGGACTGTGACCTCCCAGGCTCTCCACTTACTGTTGCTTCATCCCCAAAAAGCTGCAGGTCCTCCACAGTGGCGTGCTCCAGAAAGGATCCCAGATAATTCCGAAACCAGGCGGTGGAATTCAGAGCGGGAATGGCCTGGCTGTGGCACTTCTGGCTGGATTCTGCAGGCAAGAAAACAGACCCCATGCAACTACAGCCTGCCCTGGGTCAGGAAACCAGTGGGAACTGGGGATTTCTAGGGGTGGAAGAGCTCTCTGGTCACACCTTACGTGTTCACACACAAATTCCCATGGGACAGGACAAAAATAATCCCAGCCCTCCAAATATTCCATCCCCAGCCTCTTTCTTCCTCCCTCCAAAGGCACCAGGATTTTTTTGCAGGACTTTCAAGCAGGGCATGGAAGCTCCTGCCTGGGGCCTTTTCTGAGCTGGGTTCTTCCCTCTCAGAACCAAACCCTGCACAAGCAGCAAATGCAGTGAATTTAAATCAGAAGACACTGATTTATAAAAACCCTGATTGATAAAGCTTTCAGGCAGGGAAATGATTCCCAAATCCACTAATTACCAACATTCCCAGCCTGTTTCCTTTGGAGATTCACAAAAGCCCTGGGGAGCCTCAGCCCAGTGACAGATCCCAGGAAAATCAGCTCCTTTACCATCCTGGGTGAGGAAATGCTTGATCCCAGCGTAAAGATTCCTCTGCTCTTCCACGGGAAGCTGGGAGTAGATTCCATCCAGGGCAGCCACTCTGGAAAAGGGAAGGAAAACACCTCAAACACGAGCTCAGGTTTGGGGCCTCACAAAGAAAAACCATGGATGTTCTCAGTCCCATCCTTTTCCAAAGGGATTTTCCCCCACAGGAGCCCCCAGGACGTGGCTCTGGTGGCACAGAGGGGACATTCCACACTTACACCGCCTGGAATTCCTCACAGGACACATCCTTGGCACGGAGGCAGCCAAAGACCTCGGGATGCACCAGGAAGGGCTCGAGTCCCTCATGGACCCACTGGAACAGCACTGGGGGGGTCTCAATTCCAGGCACTCGGAGCATCCTCTCCCACAGGCCGTTCATGAAAATCAGGCTCCACTCCAGGGAAAGGGGCACCTGGGAAAACTGGGAGCAGGAGAGGAGAAGAAAGCCGTGAATTCCAGGGAATTCTAAGCAGGCATGGACGTAAATCCAAGCAAATCTGAATGCGAGGAACAGATTGGTTGGAATGGGGCTCTTTCCAAAATAAAGTAAAATTTCAGGGGATTTGGAATGATGCCTTTTCCTGGAGGGCAAAGAGAGCAAAAATTCCCTGGATTTGAGGGAATTCCATTTGAGGGAATACTCACCCTCTGGTTGAACACGGACAGGGAGGTCAAAAGCTTCCTGGCATCATATTTGGAAAAGAACAGGATGGAATATTCTGGATCCACAGCTGTGGCAGGTTTAGAGGCCAGGCAGGAATATAAGGATATGAGGAAATCATCCTGAAGGTCCTGGAGCCAAGTTCCCTGGAAAAGAGAAGGGAAATGCAAATAAAGATGATAATGGATGGATCATATTTAGAGGGGAAATCACCCTCAGGGGGCTCATCCAACCTGGGCATTTGGGAAGGGATTCCTCCCTTGAGGAAGGTAAAACATTGGCACAGGTTTTAAAAGCTTTATCAAAAAAACCCAAAATTTTGCCAAAATTTTCTAAAGTCGTGATCTAACTAGAAACTCCCATGGGGAACTCTTGAATTCCCAAACATTTTTTCAGGGAAACAGCTTACAAACAGTAGAAGGTAAAAAGAAAACCAAGAAAAAAAACAAACACACAAAAAAAAAAATTCCCCAAAAGACTCCACTGACAAATATGTGCAGAACTTTTTGTTGGAAATATTTACTGAAAAACAAACTGCTGTCAATTTAACTGCAATTACTGGCAGCAACTTCAGAGATAATGACAAAATCAGGGAAGAAAATAAACCTGGAATAGTCCAGGTTGCATTTTCCACACCACAACCACTTCAAATTGTGCTTTTACCACTTTTAATTATGTTTTAACCCCTTTTTATTTGTGTTTTTAACCCCTTTTTAACTGTGCTCACCTGGGCACAGGCGAGCTGGCCAAAGGTGAGGTTGCACGGGGATCTTTGGCCTTGGGCCACCTCCAGGAACTGCTCCTGGCTGGCACTGGGAAAACAGGGAGAGCACTGGGAAAGGTGCAGCAGCTGGGGCAGGGTGGGCTGGGAACTGGGAGGAAACTGGGAGAGGATGGGCTGGGAATGGGAAAACTGGGAGAGGATGGGCTGGGAATGGAGGAACTGGGAGAGGATGGGCTGGGAATGGAGGAAACTGGGAGAGGATGGGCTGGGAATGGAGGAACTGGGAGATGATGGGCTGGGAATGGGGAAAACTGGGAGAAGATGGGCTGGGAATGGAGGGAACTGGATGGGGAACTGGGAAAAGATGTGCTGGGAACTGGGAGGAACTGGGGAAGAACTGGATGGGGAACAACTGGATAGGAGTGGAAGTGGTGGGGAGCTGGGACAGGACTTGCTGGGGAAGAACTGGCTGCCCCTCAGCCAGATAAATCAGGGGAAAATCAGGGACAAACCTGGGACAAACCAGGGAAAAATCAGGGAAAAATCAGGGACAAACCTGGGACAAACCTGGGACAAACCAGGGAAAAATCAGGGACAAACCTGGGACAAATCAGGGAAAAATCAGGGACAAACCTGGGACAAACCAGGGACAAACCTGGGACAAACCAGGGACAAACCAGGGAAAAATCAGGGACAAACCTGGGACAAACCAGGGACAAACCTGGGACAAACCAGGGACAAACCAGGGAAAAATCAGGGATAAACCAGGGAAAAACCAGGGACAAACCAGGTCTGGAGGGAGCTGTGGGAGCCAAGAAAAGCTCGGCACCAGTGCCAAGGCTCTTGGCTGCCTCCCCAGGGCCCGGCCCTGCCTTTCTTTGTCCTGCACAGACACAAAATCCTGCACTTTCCCTTCACTGTTTGAACAAGTGCAAGCACAGCCCTCCCTGCCCACAGGCAACCCCGAGGCAAAAAAATATCCCAAAATGTGGGTTGAGAGGGATCTCATTACCCCAAAAAAGCAGAATCCCTCCCAAGGAAACGCTGCCACAATCACAGGGGATGGCTCACCTACCTCTGCACTGAGGCACACACGGCAGATTCTGATCCCCAAAACAAAAAAGGGACAAAGATAAGGAATTGTGAGAAGAATTGGAACACAGAAGCCTCTCGGGGTTTTCCTGATGGAGGATATTTGGGAAGAAACTCACCATTGACGGGGGAGCTGGAGCACTGCACCAGGAGAAAGAGGAAAGAGGTGGTGTTAAAATACAGCTCTAACATTATTTGTGATCCCTGCAGCCCTTTGGATTGGGGTCAAATCAACTCCAATCCCAAATCCACAGCTCCAGGCTGTGCCACTGGCTCTGTATCCCAAGCTACTGTGAAAAATGAGGTTCACATTTTTTTCTTATAGAATTTAAAAGTTTAATAGAAAGACAATTAGGAGATAAAAATAATAATAAATAATAAATAAAGTATACAGATACAGCTGGGTGTCTGCATTCAGCCAAGAGAGCACACCTTACTAACAAAGGATTGTCCCTTAAAAACAGGGTTTTTAATTTTTGATTAAATTAAATTTAATTTTTGATTTTCCCTACTACATATCCATAAATTCTCATACATATTCCAACATTCTTCTTAAGTTTTTTGGTGGTTTTCTGTTTAGTTTTCTCTTGCCCCCTTCCCAATAGATCAATCTTCTTGGCACCATCGAGATTTACATTCCCTGATACCAGAAATGCAATAAATTCCTCTCCCAGAGCTCTGGTCACTGCTGTCCTCATCTGGATAAGATAATTTAAGAATGCAGGGAGGTCTGTAACTATCTTTTTCAGTCTTTGGGTTATACAAACAAAGATAGTTTTTGTTTTAATATTATGCCATAGCTCAACATACTTGTATTATATTGCTATTTCTAAGTTTCATCAATAACAGAAATAAAGGAAACTATATTAATACAGCTAAATTTTCGAATCTTATACATATAACATTCACTTTAATATTTGTGAAAAGCCAATAATGTGATGTGCATTTATAACCCTGGGGAGTGCAGGTTATCCCAGCCCTGAGGAGGGAACGTGCTCCTGCCGATTCCCAAGGAAGGGAACGTGGAATTGGCTGATCCTTGAGGATCCCTCCAGCCCAACCCATCCTGGAATGTTTCAACCACAGGGATTTTCCTTACCAGCTCTGTCCCAGCTGCAGCAGCTCCCTGCCACCCTGCAAAACACCAAAAACTTCTGCGTTTTACAGCAAAGCCAGCCCAAAGCTGGCTCCCACTGCTCAGCCCCAGCCCTTCCTCAGCTCCCTGAAGAGCTGAATTTCACTTGAGTGAAATTTCACTTCATCAGCACAACGCCTTTCTTCGTTACCTGATGATTATTAATTACTAATTTTAAATAATTTTGGTTAATAATAATTAACTAAAATTATTAAAATAATTAAATATTTCCGTTATTAAATTATATTTAATAACAATGTAATAATTCTTAAATATTTACATTCTAAATAAATTTATTTCTTACTTAAATGATTAACCAAATTATTAAATATTTCCATTATTGAATTCTATTTAATAACAATTAATGTAACATTTAAATTCTTAAATATTTACATTCTAAATAAATGTACTTCTTATTTAAATAATTAACTAAATTATTACAATAAATAAATATTTCCATTATTGAATTATATTTAATAACAATTAATGTAGCAATATTTAAATTATTAAATATTTCCATTAGAAATAAATTTATTTCTTATTTAAATAATTACCTAAATTATTTAAATATTATTACATTTATAATAGAAATAGAAATATTATAAATAATAATAGTAATTTAGTTGATGGAGAACTGTCACTAATTAACAGACAAAGGAACCTTGTCTCCATTAATTAAGTTACTAAAAATGTAATAATAATTTTTAATTCATTGTTAAATTGATCAATTATTGATTTATTAACATTTAATAAATGGGGAGGAGGAGAGGTGGGGAGAGACTTTGGACAAGGGATGGAGGGACAGGAGGAGGAGGAACAGCTTCCCACTGCCAGAGGGCAGGGATGGATGCGATATGGGGAAGAAATCCCTCCCTGTGAGGGTGGGGAGGCCCTGGGATGGATTTCCCAGAGGATTCCCCATCCCTGGAAGTGCCCCAGGCCAGGCTGGAAGGATCTTGGAGAAACCTGGGATGGTGGAAGGTGTCCCTGCCCTTTATTTAGATTTAATGTCCCTCCCAATCCAAACCAGTCTGGGATTTATTATTCAATGAATATAGAATTAATCAGATTTAGTTATGATTATTCCTTGATACTCCAGCAAGAGGAGCAGGGAGCAGACAGCTCTGAACAGACAGGAGGAGAATCAGTCCCAGGGGGACCTTCCCACCCTGTTTATCACCAAAACTAAAATACCTCCCTCCCAAATCCAACAACAAACACGACAGCGAAAGGCTGGGGGTTTACAGCGACCACCAAAGTCACACCCAACGCTCTGGCAGCACAATTTCCCTTTTTGGGGATAATCCCTGGCACGGAAAACCCTCCTGGCACAGCTCTCCCTCCCTCCAGGGCCAGACTCACCCAGCAGGAGGAGGAATGGGAGCAGAGGAGGCATTTCTGGGGACAGCCACGGCAATCACCTCAGCCCAGCCAGGAGAAACCAAACAGCAAGAAATTAACCTGAATTAATTAACCTGAATTAATTAACTCCAGCCCCAAACTCCGAGGAGGAAAGTTAAAAGTCACGCGGAAATCCGGACACGCTTCACAAAGCCCAAAATTAGACCCAAAAATCTCCTGGGGGTGCGGGGAAAGCTCCGGGGAATTTGGGGTTGGTGGAGGCAGCAGGTTGGTGTCCACACCTGAGGCAGGTGTGTGGTGGCAGGGGACACCGGGGGACACCAGGGGACACCAGGGGATACCGGGGGACACCGGGGGATACCAGGGGACACCGGGGAACACCAGGGGACACCGGGGAACACCAGGGGACACCAGGGGACACCAGGGGACACCGGGGGACACCGGGGAACACCAGGGGACACCGGGGAACACCAGGGGACACCGGGGGACACCGGGGGACACCAGGGGACACTCACCTGTGGCTGCAGGTCCTGCCAGGCAGGCTCTGGCTCCTTTTCACGGAGCTGCCCGGGGTGTGGCTCCTCCGGCTGCATCTCCCGGGGATGGATCGGGAGCCCTGGGCACACCCACGGGCCGCAGGACAAACAGTTGGGCAATGCCTGCCATTCCCAGGATCCAGAAAGTTGGATTCCCTCCATCCCTGCACGGGACAGAAATCCATCTGTGCTCCCAGCACGGAGCTGCTCCCGCCAGCGGTTCAGGGAATGGGTGGCACCAGGGAATTTGGTGTCTGGAGCTTGGAATGGTTGGGATTTCTTGGGAAATCTCTGTGTATCCCACTCATTTCCACCTGGGAAATCCCAAAGAAACACGTGGAAGTTCTTCTGTCAGGCAGGCAGGCCATGGAATGGGATGAGGGTTAGGGGGAAAGGTTCTTCCCCATGGAGCATGGAGCAGATCCCCAGGGAATGGGCACGGCCCCGAGGCTGCCAGGGCTCCAGGAGCCTTTGGAAAATGCTCCCAGGGATGCACAGGGTGGGATTTGTTGGGATACATGGCCCCTGTGATCCTTACTGTTCCGTGATTCCATGGATGTCAGACCAGGAGCTCAGTCTCTTTGGACTCATCTCAGGGTAATTTCACATCCTCCAGATTTGGGAGGAGAAAAAAAAATAATAAATTAATATAAAATAAAATAAAAATTAAAAATCATTCTTTTGGTCACTATATTGGTGCTTCTCCAGACAAGTTTTTACTAAGCCCAGCTCTGGGCCAGGCCTAGGCTCGCCTGTTGCTGAAGATCAATAACTCGTGCTCGTGCCACTGTCACCTCCCAGTGTCACCGCACCCCGCGTTCCTCAGCACACCCCACGTCCTTCCCAGCTCCTCTGGGACCAGAGGAGTCACAACCACGGCTGCTCTGACTCACAGAATTCCAGAATTCTGGCCAACACCCATCCCAAACCACCCAAATCCGTAAAACCCGTCAGCGGTTTGGAATGACCCCCACGCACAGCCCTGGAGCTCAAAGGGGCTCCATGGGGATGCTCCAGCCAGGCTCCAAGTGTCCAAGCTCTGGAGTTTTGCACCTTTTGGAATTTCAGCTCTCCAAGCAGGCTGCCCACGGATGGAAAAGTGCTGGATGGGGAAAGCGCTGGCAAATCTGTGGATCCGAAGGAGAGGAAACAAAGAGGATCATGGAATGTTCCGGGCTTGGGAGGGACCTTAACGCTCATCCAGACCCAACTCCAGCACCTTCCACCATCCCAGCTGGCTCCAAACCTCTCCAGCCCGGCTTTGGATGTTTCCAGGGATGAGGGATCCCACGGCAGAGCTGCCCCACAGGGGTCAGCGAGGGGATTTTGGAGCCCACCTGGGATGGACGATCCCCTCTGGCTCAACACCACTCCACACCAGCCTCCCTTCCCTCCGCAAGATTCCCAAAAACCCTGCTCCCAATCCTGCCCCAGGGCCACCAGCAGCCAGCCCTGGATGGGAGGAGAAGCTGCAGAGGGTGGGACAGCCCCAGAAGGAGCCGGAGGAGGATGGAGTGTCCCGGGGTGACCCCAGCTGGGGCTGGAGCTGTCCCCAGGTGTGGCAGGGACACCAAATCCTCGCCAGTCCCACCCCAGCAGCTCGGACACACCCGGCAAGGGGACAAAGGGGCTTTGTCCTGGCTCTGAGCCTGGCTCAGCACCCTGGCAGACAAACCAGGCTCACTTAAAAACCAGCCTGGGTTTAGGGAGGGATGGTGAAAACCAGACTTGGCTCTCTAGAACATTTCAAAGCTTAATAAACCAACAATTAATCCAGAAGAAATCTGGTGAAGAGCCAAAGAGGCAATTCAAATCGTGTTCTTTCTACCCAGTTACACTGCTGGGGTTACAGCAATTACCTGAGACATAATTCAAATATTCCTTTCAGGTTTTGGTGTGCAGGAACTCCCTGGTTTGCCTTTAACCCCTGAGTTTCTGCAGCACACGCTGGAAATGTGTTTTATTTCTTGCCTGTGGTTTTATCCTGGTGGCTCACGCTCCCTGAGAGAGGAGAAATCTCTTTCTTGGATGTTCCTGATGGGTTTTGTCACAGTTATTTTATCATATATTTTATCATATATTTTTAATATATTTTATAATATA